GGGGGGGGGGAGAAATTGGGAGAAGGGGTGATGGTGAAAAAAGGAATTTTTTTTTTTTTTTACAAGCAAAAGAAGTCGGTTTGTATGAGTCTCTTAATATTAAAATGTTTATATTTCCTGTAGGTTGATATTATTCTTAACATGTTGTCACTCTGACATGCTTTACTTCTGCATAACTCATTCTCCTGTTCCCTAACAGCAAAGAAGCTCAGAAGTGTTTCTGTGGGTCAGCTAACTGCCGGGGTTACTTGGGAGGAGAGAACAGAGTCAGTATTCGAGCCGCAGGAGGGAAGATGAAAAAGGAACGCTCTCGGAAGAAGGATTCAGTAAGTTTGCTGCCGTCTGTTTTTCAAATCTTATAATAAAAGTTTTAAGGAAGTAGCTTTTCTAATTAATTTAAAAGGAAAATCCAGGTTTGGATTAGATACTGGAAAAGAAGTATGGGTGGCTGTTTTTATTTTACTTTAATATATTATAATAGAAAACTGCTTAAAGTTTTTTGACTCATAATTCCTCTGAGCTTGTCTTAGTTCAGGATTGTGTGTATACTCGTGCACACAGCTGTGCCAGGTGTGAAGGTTAAGGGACAGTCTGCAGGAGTCTGTTACCTGTTTACAAGTGGGTCCTGGAGATTAAACTCAGATAGATCATCAGTCATGGCAGCAAGCACCTTTACCTACTGAGCCTTCTAACCTGCCTTAAATGTATACTATTGAATAAACATAAGGGTTTGTTTAACTGTGTCACACATATGTGTGTTGTTTTTTTTTGTATTTTGCCATTATGAATATGATTGTACTGAGCATCATGGGCATTTCCTGGTACATATTGTACAGACATTTTTCTGTATTTTGTTCTTCTAAGTGGAATTGCTGGGCAGGAGAGATACAACTATTTTGTATTTTAGTTAATGTTTTTGAGTTTTATTTTATATTTTATATTTTCATCTTATATGATTTGTTCTTTATCTCCCTTAAGGACAGCTTTTTAGAGAAAAGTATTTCTGTGTGTTTTGCCTGCTTGTGTGTCTGTGTACCACTTGTGTGTCTGGTGCCAGTGGAAGGCAGAAGAGGTCATCAGATCCCCTGAAATTAGAGTTGCATAGTGTTGTGAACTGCTATGTGGGCCCTTGGAATCAAACCTATGTCTTCTGGAAGATCAACCAGGGCTTTTAACTGATGAGCCATCTTTCCAGCCCTAAAAGATAGTCTTTACATTTTACATTCATTGTAACATCTTCCATCTTAGCATCTAGAAGTATATATACTTGAACTACATAATCTATTTTCCTGCTTTCCTTATGCCTTCCCATCTCATTTTTCCTTTTTTTCTTTTTCCCTATTCAGAGAGAGAGAGAGAGAGAGAGAGAGAGAGGGAGGGAGTGAGAATATGAATGAATCAATGAATGTGTAGGGGTTTGCTGAGGGAATTCTGATGGCAATTCTCTCCTACCATACCGATATTATTTATTAGACATAGGGGCAGGTGCCGTTACACATTGAACCATGTCACTGTCCCTCAGGCCTCAAAACTTTTTGTGCATAGACTTCCTCATATCTTGGATTAAAAGCCTGGTTCACCTTGCCCAGCAATGCTGAATACTGAGGAATGTATGTTAGGCAGATATTTTGCCATTAAACCATATCCCAAGGCCTTAAATAATTTCTTGTTCGTGTAGTTGATGAATGAAACGCTTTTCAGATTGATTCTATCCATTTTTATTTCTTTTCATTTATATGTTTATTTAAGTTTTATTTGAGATGGGGTTTTTCTGTGTAGCCCTAGCTGTTCCAGAACTCCCTTTGTAGACCATGCTGACCTTCAACTCTAGAGATCCACCTGTCTCTACCTCCTGAGTGCTGGGATTAAAGGCATATAACACCAAGCTAATTTGGTTGTTTGAGACACAGTTTCAGTATGTTGCTCCGGCTATCTTAGAACCACAGTTACCCACCTCTCCCTGCCTCCTGAGTGCCAGGAATACGGCCACCTCACCTGGCTTTCGATTTATATTCTAACAGATTTGATGATATGAGATGTCATGGTTACTTTCTTCCCTCCCTCCCTTGCTTGGAGACAGAGTAGCCTAGGCTGGCCTTGAGTTCATGGTCCTCTGCCTCTACTTTCAAGGTTGATATTACAGGAATGGCTTAGTGATGGATATGTCCCCTGTCCCCCAGCCTAATAGTATAGTTCCTTCTTGTGGTCATACTTTTCATTTTCTAAATTACTTGTGAAGCCAGCAATTCCCCTGTCCCCCAGGTTGTTTAAGTGAGTGAGTTGTACTTGTCCTTTAACTATAATGTTTTCTTTGCTGTACTAGGTGGATGGAGAACTCGAAGCACTGATGGAAAATGGTGAAGGCCTCTCTGATAAGAACCAGGTTCTTAGTTTATCCCGGCTCATGGTTAGAATTGAAACTTTGGAACAGAAACTCACCTGTCTCAAGCTCATTCAGGTAAGTACTTTCATACTAATGTATTTCTGAATTTGGAGTGGGACATTTAAACTAAAATCTGGCTAATAGAAAAAAAAATCATCATTTTAAATGAACATGCAAGTTCTTTTTTGAAAGCTTATGAAAAGGCTGAAGAGTTCAATACTATGAATAGCAAAGCTGGTTTGTTTATCCCTTCAGTTAAAAGCTCAAGGTGGGATTTCTTTTAGTGTGATAATTCATGGTACTTTGTACAGCTCTCTTGCCCACAAGTTACTATTTTACTATATAATCTCAAAGCAAAGGATTTTAGCAGTCATCTCATGGATTGCAATTTACTAAGTATGCCATAAGAAAATAATAAAAAATTATCAAAAAAAAATCTAACGGGGGATTGGTGGTATAGTTTATTTAGTGTTAGAGTGTTTGTCTAATATAACAAAGCCCTAGGTTCAAACCCTAGCACTGCAGAAACCAATTACCAGGAAAGAAAAAGCTTTTTGAATAAGAATCTGAATCAAAGAGATAATAGAAAATTACGTAAATAATTTTTACTGTTACATTTTCAACAAAGTAATTTTCCATGTCATTCAGAATGTAATTTCCTTCTTAAAAAAATATTTATTTTATGTATATGAGTACCTGTAGCTGTCTTCAGACACTCCAGAAGAGGGCCTCAGATTCTCTTACAGATGGTAGTGAGCCATCATGTGGTTGGTGGGAACTGAACTCAGGACCTCTGGAAGAGTATGAGCCATCTCTCCAGCCTGAATTTATTTATTTTCATTTTATATGTGTTTATGTGTTGCCTTTATGCATGCAGGTACACTGCCTGCTTGCCTATTGCTTACAGAGTCAAAAGAGGGTATCAGTTCTCTTGAAGTAGTTATGGATAGTTTTAAGCTACCAAGTGGATCCTGAGAATTGAACCCAGGTCCTCTGCAAGCAACAAGTGCTCTTAACCACTGAGCTAACACCAGTTCCTAAATTATTTGTTTACTTTTAAGTTATTGCATTCATTTATTGTATGTGTGGGTACATATCTTTCTAGGTTAGTGGAAGAGTCAGTTCTCTCTCTTTACCTTGTAAGATCTGGGGATTGGACCTCGGTTATTAGTCTTAGGGGCAAGCACCTTTAAGTGCTTGAACCATCTTGCCAGGTCCAGAGCTGAATCTCATTGTAAATGATGTGTTTTAATAGTTTCCAATTTTAGTAAAGTTCAAGTGCACTATTGGGAGGGAGGGGTGTGTGTGTGTGTGTGTGTGTGTGTGTGTGTGTGTGTGTGTGTGTATGAATGAAATATTTGTTTTTTTTTGAGACAGAGTTTCTCTCAGCCCTGGCTGTCCCAGAATTTACAGTGTAGATGGGGGTAGCCTCAAACTCAGACATTTTTCTTCCTCTGCCTCCCAGTTGCTGGGGTTAAAAGTGTAGGCTATTACAAGAGATACTGTTTTCAGCTGTGTAGTTATATTCCTTTAAGTAACTTATTAAATTCGTAATAGACTTGAAAATAGACAAGGGACTCATTGGAAAGAAGTGGGTCAGAGAGAGGAGGCAAGACTGGGTAATTGGGGATGAGTTGGATAAAAGTGCATTAAAGACATTTCTTAAATATTAAATTCTTTATAGTGTTTGTTAGATGTCTAATTGTAGTTAATAAAATAGAGTTTCTGGGATGTGTGTTTCTATGTGTGCATTAATTTACGTAAACTCTGATTCTCACTGTGGGCTTTCTATAACATGCATTGTGCCTTTTCCCTTTATGAAGAACACACACTCTCAGTCCTGCCTCAAGTCATTTCTGGAACGTCATGGGTTGTCACTGTTGTGGATCTGGATGGCAGAGCTCGGCGATGGCCGGGAAAGTAACCAGAAGCTCCAGGAAGAGGTCAGTTCCCATTCTCTCCACTTTTTTTTCCCCCTTGGTTTTGGTTTTTGGTTTTTCAAGTCAGGGTTTCTCTGTGTAGCCCTGGCTGTCCTGGAACTCACTCTGTGGACCAGGCTGGCCTCGAACTCAGAAATCCGTCTGCTTCTGCTTCCAAGTCTGGGATTAAAGGCGTGCGCCACCACCGCCTGGCTCCCATAGCATCTTCTAAAGTCAGTTCTATATACCAAGAACTGTAAGCACAATCTGTCATGATAGTAATTTATTTGATCGCTAAGATAAGTATGCAGAAAATATAGAAAAAATGAATTTTGGAGTTCTGAAAAATTATTGACAAGATTAAGGCCAAAGAAGTGTTTTCAAAGGTCTAAGTAAAGATTAGTTGACAACATTATTAGTGGACTTGCAGCTTTTACAATTTACCATGACTTTTCATAGGTAGCTTTTAAAAAAAAAATCACCCCAAAGTCAGTTATTTAGTAAACTGACTAGTATTTAGTATTTGGTTTTTATTGTTTTTTGTTTGTTTGTTTGTTTGTTTTGAGACAGGGTTTCTCTATGTAGGCCTGGCTGTCACAGAATTCTCTTTGTAGACCAGGCTGCCCTCAATCTCACAGAAGTCTACCTTTGCCTGCCTTTGCCTTTGCCAAGATTAAAGATGTGTGTCACCACTGCCCAGCCAATAAAAAAACACTTTTAAAAATGAAGTATTGTGGGCTGGAGAGATGGCTCAGCTGTTAAACTACAACCAAAAATAAAAATTAAGTATTAGAGTAGACATATAGTAATTTTTCTTGCCTGTAACGTTTTTCAAAGCGATCTGGGAATAAGTTGGGGAGGACTTAGGTTTCTATAGACCAATACTTGAAAATTTGTAAGAAATATTTAGATTTCAGTTTGAGGGATACTATGGATGTCCTCCCCTAGATAGTTATTGTCACAGGCTAACTTAGAAAATAATGCTTGAATCTTTCACATGTGGGAACTATCATTTTAATACATAATATTGTATGGTTCCCAAGTTTCTGTTATAGTAACCTGGAGAATTTTATAGAAAAATAGACTGGAAATGCGGATTAGTATTTTTTTTTTTTAAGCTGCATAGTTTTGGGGATCCCTTCCTTTAGAAAATATTTATCAGTCACACTTAGTGGTGTCAGTAGTCATTATGTCATTACCCTGTACTTTTTAATTGTAGGTTTTCTTCCATCTTAAAAGAAAATAATGTTATAACCTTAAACTGCATCTATATTTAAAAATTAAGTAAGACAATACCCAACATGTACTATTTCCTGTGTTTGAGTCCTTACCTTATGTTTGATCAGCTATATGGAGTGATTGATTAATTTTTTTATCATGTTTAATCAGATTATAAAGACTTTGGAGCATTTGCCCATTCCTACTAAAAATATGTTGGAAGAAAGCAAAGTACTTCCAATTATTCAACGCTGGTCTCAGACTAAGACTGCTGTCCCTCAGTTAAGTGAAGGAGATGGGTATTCTAGTGAGAATACATCACGGGCTCACACTCCGCTTAATACACCGGACCCTTCTGCCAAGCCAAGCACAGAAGTGGATACAGATACTCCTAAGAAACTCATATTTCGCAGGCTTAAGATTATAAGTGAAAACAGCATGGACAGTGCAGTCTCGGACGTCACCAGTGAGCTAGAGTGCAAGGATGGTAAAGAGGACCTCGATCCGTTAGAGACTGTCACTGTAGAAGAAGATGAAGAGCTGCCGTCCCAACAGCTACTTCCACAGCAGCTCTGCGAGGCTGGAGTTGAGAGTGAAGCCACCCTCGAAGTCAATAAATTACCCACATCGGAATTGGAGGCAGACACCGAGACAGAGCCCAAAGACAGCAGTGGCACAAAACTCGAAGAAACTATTGCTGAGGAAACACCATCCCAAGATGAAGAAGAGGGTGTGTCTGATGTTGAAAGTGAGAGGAGCCAGGAACCACCAGATAAAACAGTGGATATAAGTGATTTGGCTACCAAGCTACTAGACAGTTGGAAAGATCTAAAGGTAAGAAACTTTTTTTGTTACTATAACAAATTATTGTGTGTGTTGTAAAACCTAAATAAAAAGTTGACAACATTTCTAGCCATGAATACTTCTGAAAAATGGGATATGATCTCTCAGCTAGTAATAGATGTATCTCTAGTGTTCTTTAATTCTTTGTAAGAGCCATAATAGTCAAACCATTATACAGATAAAGCCCTCCTTTTCTCTTACTGAGAAAAGTAGCATATTGGTGATTTTATTAATTCAAGGGCTCTTCATATAAAATAAACAAAATCCTTCAAGTATTAAACTTACTCTATGTAATGACAGCAGATGTTTGAATTAATTGAAAATCCAGTGACTGGTTAATAGAAAATTAACAGTGAAATTGATTGGAAGACCCTGGTAATTTAGGAACTTCACATTATGAAATATTATGAAATTTTATTCTAGAAAGAACATCATGGCACTAGTTTATTTGTGTTTGTTTTTGAAATAGTCCTCCCCTTTTAGGTTTTTTTTTTTTTAATTGGACAAAATATATTACCCAAGGGGTGGTGGTGTGAAGCTAGGCATGGTGGTACACGCCTTTAATCCCAGCACTGGGGAGGCAGAGGGAGACATGAGCCTGGTCTATAGAGTGAGTTCTAGGACAGCTAAGGATACACATACACACAGAGAGACCCTGTCTCAATTAATAACAAAACAACAAATAACAAAAACAAAATAACAAAAGGGGAAAAGTCTGGAAACGTTATGGCATATATGGCATATATATTAATTTATATTCTTGATAAAGAATGCAATAAGTTGTGTAGAATTTGCCTTTCAGAAAATACAGTCTGGATCTTGAATAAATATGAACATATAAAACTCTGAGCCTATGCGAGTTAATGGTTCACTTTAGTTGTAAGAGGGCTGGAGTCCAGTTTTTGAGGGCCCTGTGGGAACAGCTTACTTCCTACCTTTATGTTTTCTGTTTCTCCTTCTCTCAGAATTGAAACAATTAGATAAATCAACAGTGCAGTTTTTTGTAGCAGGCTGAAACTACAAAGCTCATTGCATTCAACTGTGTGATTTGACCCCGTGGAACTTAGATTGATTCATTGGTTGATTGTGTGCTGTGCTTCCTGTTCACTATTTTGAGACCTTTTCATATACCAGTCTGTGCTCTTACTTACATATGTTACACTTTGATCGCTTAAAATTTATCATAAACTCAGATTTATTTAGTGTGAAACCTGACTTTTAAAAATAAATATAAAAGGAAGTACCGATAGCAGGTCTATCCGGGATGCCATGTATTAACTGCAGGAGGCAGGAGTTTGGTTAAGTGAGAGATACTAGAAATGGGTACTTGTTGGACCTTTATTTAAAGCCTGCTTTGTGACAGGGTCTTGAAGTTCCTCAAATGTTTGGAGGCTACCATCAGCCTGAATGACAGTAATTTAGTAATAAAAGGAGAGGTAGAAGCGAGTACACAAGTGGACACAGGAAAGACATGGAGGAAAGCCACAGTTGGGTAGAAGAGAGGATGTTCTTGTAAAGAGGTTCGCTGGGAAGTCTCTGATCAACATTTCTCAGATCGTTATGATATAATCTCATACCCTTGTCTTAAAATCTGTAAAATGTAAAGCACTTGATTTTCTGTGTAGTAGTTTTCAGTTGTGACTCTGGGATGTATTTACACAGATAACTGGAACACTTAACCTCACTTTCTGAACACCTGTTCAGTTCTACAACATTATTTCATCTTTTTATCCTTTGACTTCCTATCTTAAAAGACCAAAGTAGCTTTACAATAATGTGTATATTAATGATCTCTTGACTTTAGGTTTATATTTTTATTTGTATTTAAAATAAAATACTTAGTTCTTAGATTTCATACTTTGTATTTATCTGACTTCTTAACATCAAGGAAGCATTAAATAAAATTCTCTCTTCTTTTTCAAACTTGTTTGTTTGGGCATTGCATTTCTGAGAACATCTTTACTTACTGTGAACTGATATTTTTTTACATATTGGTACTGGGGTTCTTAATTCTTCTATTCTTTTCATAAGCATTTACCATGTCTCTGATTTCTAAACTTTAATTACTATTGTCTTTTAAGTTTAAAGCAAAATTGTAGCTGGCACTTGACTAGGAGTCTGAAATCAAGAATTGATAAATTGGATATGTTTTGGAGAAACATTCAAACCTCATTTGATTACTATATACCACACCATTCCGGCATTGAAAGAGTTAACTACTTCTGTCTGACTTCACCTATGTGTTCAAGTAGACATTAGCTGAAAAGAAAATATCTTTTTCAACCTTACTAAATACCTGTGGCCAAGTACTGTTAGTTGCTGATACTTAGTTCATACCAAAAAGCAATGGTTGTGGTTGTTTTGACCACTCTTAATTCTCCCTGATCTTGTGGGTCTACTATATATGACATTGCTGGACCTGCGTTCCAGTTGTCTTCTCTACACTGGATGGAGTAAAGAACTGAACAGATAACTTCATACTCTTTAGTCTTGGTTTTGCTGTGAAGACAGACTATAGGGATCATCAATAAAATATAAGAGGGTGGGAGGGAAGGGAATGAAGCTTCATGAATTACTCTTTGTCCTCCCAGATCTGATGATGATCCCCCTTGTAACTTGAACCATTTCCATCTAGCTTCTCAGGGCAGCAAGGAGCTTGTTAACATCACCAGCTGACCATGTGTCTCCTTTTCTCAACTCCATTTCCAACTTCGTGCTGAAGAAAAACAAGAACCTAGCGTGCATTCTGTGAAGAAACAGGAAGATGGTTGGGAAGTTGGATGATGCATGAAAAATATAATAGGTGAAAAAAGGACAGAGGTGGTTAACTCACTGGCGCCGGCATTATTTTGGTGCGTCCATTGTCAACAGTTGTTTCCGGGAAAATCCCTACTGGCGAGAAAGGATTAAGTGAGCTACTTTTTCTATACCTTATATACACAGGACCACTGCCTAGGCTTGCAAGGCATTTACTATACACATCTCTCCTAGAGTAGCTCTCACATCACCCAGCACATTACTACTTAGAAACGTGTTCATTTTCACATGCAGATTTGCTGGGCTACATTTTTTAGCAGAGACATGTGCATTAATTTCTGTGTAGAAGAACTGCTGTACATCATCTGTCCTACTGAAAATGTAGCCTAGATTTCACAAGGTAAAACAGCAATTACAAGTAATTAATTATAATCTGACTGGAAAAAACTTTCATTCAATTGGATCATATGAAAAGGAGGTAAGGGTCTCATGAATTTGACAGTTTGAATTGCTGTTAACATCAAGAGGTTATAGTAATTAGTAATTTAAAATCTCCTTTACACTTAGATATATAGGATGTGCATCTCTCTGGTCACCGTGGGTAGCTTATTTCTACCTGGATTAGATGATATAGTGACAGAAGCTTCCTATGAGTGATAAGTTAGTACTTCTTAATAACTGCTCATTCATATTCATTCATATTCATATTCATATTCTCTCTCTCTCTCTCTCTATATATATATATATATATATATATATATATATATATATATATATATATATGCATATGCATATATGCACTGCTTTTACAATACACTTATTTTAGCCAGGCCTGGTGGTGCATCACTTTAGCCTCAGCACTCAGAAGACAGAGGCAGGAGAGTCTTGAGTTTAAAGCCAGCCTGGTCTACATAGTGAGTTCCAGGAAAGCCAGGGCTATGTACAGAGACCCTGTCACAAACCACTATTTGGTTAGAAAATTCAACATTAAACTTTCTATAGAAACTTGAAATACCTAAACTGAATGGTTTTGAGTCAATACTTGTAGTTTCATTCCATCACTAATATTGTCTGTAAAAAAAAGATTTGTACATCAAGTTTCATGTTCTGAGTTTCTGTGAAAAATTTGATAAGAGATAAGCCTATATAGAATTGAATCCAGGAAATCCTGCATCGAGAATATTTTTAAGTATCTCAGTTTTTGTGGTTTTGTTTGTTTGTGGGGTTTTTTTGGTTTGTTTTTTTGAGACACAATTTCTCTGTGTAGCTCTGGCTGTCCAGGAACTCACTCTGTAGAGCCAGGCTGGCCTTGAACTCAGAGATCCACCTTGCTCTGCCTCTGAGTGCTGGCATCAAAGGTGTGCACCACTAACAACAGATTTAAGTGTCTTTTTTTTGTTTTTAAGACAAAATGTTCTAAAACTTACTGGTTTGTTTTGTTTGTTTTTGTAAGAGACGAGGTTTATCTGTAATAATCCAGATGTGAGGATTAAAGGTATGAGTTATAGGTATGTGCCATCACTCTTAGCAGTGAGGTGTCTGCTGCCATCCCCTTTCCCTGTCCTCTCCCTTAAGCTAGGATCTCACTGTGTAGTACCCACTGGCCTGGAACTGCTAGCCACTGCTTCTGCCAGAGCCACCATCACTGGCTTGTTTGGTGGTGCCCTGTAATCCCCCAGAGGTTGAGGGAGAAGGATCATGAATTGGAAGCCAGCCTGGTTACATAGTAAGATGTCTCAAAAGGTGAAATAGCAATTAGAGATTTGGGACACTGCTGGCTTTGTTTCCGAGTGACTGTGCTCCATACTTGTATATTATATTGTATATTCTGTATTGGCTGTGGCTACTCTAATGTTAGACTTTGGTAATTCCACAGAGAAGTAATAAAGATTTTAATGTTTGTTCTGTCCTTTCCAAAAAAAGTTTACCAAAACTTGTTTTAATAATAAAGCACAGAATTTGCTAACTGAAGTCACTTTTACTTTATAAACTTGGGTGAGCCATTAATTCTGTTTCTCAACAACAATAATCATATTTCTATTGCCTGTGAAGCTAATTTTTGTAGTTACGTCTTGACTTTATTTAGAAAAAGATAGTTTAAGTATAAGACTATATGAGAGAGATAGAAGAGTAATAAACATTATAGAAAGAATTTCCTAATGGGTAAAGACTTCTAAGGAATATTGTTTTTCTTCGGGACCATGACAAACCTGTCAGTAACTTGCCAGTTTTCTAGTGTAGATTAAGCCACATAAATTTTTCTAGCTAGTGAATTTTAAATTCCAAATAAAGCTTCAGACTTAGAAACACCCAGGAATGTTCTGTATGCATTCTACATGATATGCATATTCTAGTGATAAATATATAGAAAATTGGCTAAAAATTCCTCCATGCCCTGTATTCAGACTATCTAATGTTAATTTTTTGCCCAATTACTATTTTAAGTTAGATACATGTTCCTATGAGGAATAGTGCTGTGTTCTTCACAAAGCACTCAGTGGTTCCGTTACTGAAATTGTCAGCTTTAGTCACATTGCCAAAGTGTCTTTTGAGCTTCTCCAAAGTTACTTGGGAATGGTGACTCATGCTGTAATGTCATCACCAGAAGGATCATAAGTTCCAGGCCAGTGTGACTACACATTGAGACACTATCTTTCTTCCTTTAGATAAACAAACAAACAAACAAGCAAAAAAGAAAGCACATGGGGAGCAGTTTCGGAACTCTGTAAAGTTGTATTTTAATGGAATGTGTCTGAGTCACTGGTTGCCTAACAGTGCTTTTAGACTCATGGATTCTCATTCTCTTGGGTGGATTATGCTGTATTAATTCCAATATTTGATGCTTACACTACCTCATGTTTGACCAGTGAAAACCCCTTCTTGTTGGCTTCTGTCTAATTTTGATTTGTTTTTGTTTTAAAATTTCTGAAGGCGTGTTATTCCAGGTTCAGTTTGTACCTGGCCTTCCTAGCCTCTAATTAGCCTTTTTTCCCCCAAGAAATACTTATTCTTTCTAGTGGGAAACTTTATATCTGTAAAAATTTTAAAGTTATTTGCCACCAAACCTGAGGATCTACTTGAGTGTGATGCTTGGAATCCATATAATGGAAGGAGGGAACCTCCGTCTGTGCCCTCCATGTATGTAGGTGGCATGCATGTCCATACATAAATGCATTCACACAAATAGATTTCTTTTGTTGTACAGGTTAAGTAGGTCATATTACATTTGATCTAACACTTTTAATGCAGACTCTCTCATGCCTGGCTTTTACTTTTACAACAGAGTACTGTTTGTTCTTGCTTTCATTCTTTGCTTTCAATATGTTATCCTTGATTTTCTTTTAAAATTATAGATGAGACTAAGAGGACTCTGTAGTAGCATTGCATAAACCCTTAATTTACAGAATTTAAATTAAGTATTTAAAGAACAGAGTGTATGGAGATGAACATTATGTCTGTCTATTTTTTTAAGATTTAATGTGTATACAGTGGTCTGCTTGCATGTATGCCTGCAGGCCAGCAGAGGGCACCAGATCCCATTACTGAGGGTTGTGAGCCACCATGTGGTTGCTGGGAATTGAACTCAGGGCCTCTGGAAGAGCAGACAGTGCTCTTAACCACTGAGCCATCTCTGCAGCCCATGTCTGTCTATAATCTTGCCCAACAGTTTTTCTTCTGTGTGAGCCATGTTATCTGTTCATGTATGTTCACCTTTCCACAGCTTCAGGCATACTGTTCTTGTTTGGAATATCTTTTTAGCCTTTACAAATTCGATTTGTGGTTTTAGTCATCCTTTATAAAATGCATTATATTATTCTTACATAAGAATTACTTGCATAGATGTTAATTCTCTTTTCTAAACATGTTATCCTTAAGGGCATGAGCCAGTTATTAATTTTTGAAATGGTATCTTGATATGTGACTAACCTGGAACTTGCTTTGTACACCAGCCTGACATTATATTTGGTGTGATGATTCTGCGCCTGTTTCCTGGGTGCCGGAATCGTAGTCATGGACTTTTGCAAGTGACCCAGATGGTTGGTTGGTTTGTTCCTTCCATCCATCTGTCCTTTGTTTTTTCTGAGGTGGGGTTTCTCTGTAACCTTTAATGTTCTGGAACTCTCTTTAGATTGGGCTGGCCTCAAACTCAGATTGTCCTGCCTCTCTGCCTCCTGAGTGCTAGGATTAAATACATGTGCCGCACTGACCAGCTTTGGGCTAGTTTCTTGATAGTTGTAGTAAAAGTTAATATTATGGTATGTCTATAGTACTGATTGGAGTAAATTACCTCTTAATTGTATTCCCCAAATAGTTGATGATATGCTTAGTATCTAGAATCATCTTCTGGGGAAGACAATTTTGTTTGTGTCCTTAATTTTTTTTTTTTTTATGGTTCTACATTTACACTGTTGAGGTTACATTTTTCTTAGTGTTTCTTGTATTCACAGCATGGTCTGACCCCCATCTATGTCTACAATTCATGTCAGATTATTCTAGTTGAGAAGTCACAGTCAGCTTCTAATGTTTTTGTATTTTCTTTTTCTTGAAACTTGCTTTTCTTTTAGATTTCTGTTAAGGTTTTTCCCTTCCCATGGGAAATGATTCTTGTTTTCCAAGACAGAATCTTTTTTTCTGTTCTTTTTATATATTCGCTCACATCCTTTCCAGTACAGCATTTCACAGTAGTACTTGGAGCAGAGGCAAAGCCTTATATTCAATCATCTGGTCTTTATTTTGCCCAAATTATTGTTTTTTTTTCTTGCCAAGCAGCCCATGGAATCTTGTAATTGAGAAGCTAGTGAGTGAAATTCTCTCTGTAATTGTAGCGACTATTACTTTAGCGGTCCTCAAACTATCCCTCACCCTTATATTGTAGTGGTTTTCAGCCTGTGATCTATGATTGAACACTAAAGGACATTCCTAACTTCTGAACTGACATGGATGTCTGAGCTTTCCTGTTGTGTAGCTAAAGCAGCTTCTCTAATAAAAGTGTGTATTGGTGTCAGATGGAAGAGGAGTGAATTGTGCTTCAAAAGGTATTTTCTG